TAGAGTTTGTTCCTATGTTGTGCTCTTACATGTACACCTCTGTCACAAATAAGGAGAGGACGCCATATTCTGTATGTGCCTTTCCCAAGTCAGGAGCCTATAATTCAGTCGGTATCGTTTGTTACTGTACATCATATTTGTTTTTCGCTAATTGTTTTGATCATAAATCAATCCGTTAGTTTTCTCGTTTGAATTGTTTTACACTTGTCATTTCGGGGTCTATTATAGCTTGCGGTTTGGGTTTTCTTAATGTTCAAAGCCGTACGGTGGACTATTGTTGTAAAATCCTACATCATTTTTGGTCTATGATTGAGAGTTGTCTCATTTGCAATCATACCACATATTCTTATGTCTCTATATTATTGTCAATTACTGAATGTTGACATATATGTAAGTTCTTTTTTATTTTAATATAGACCAAACTTATTCGTTCAGTGTATGTTTATCTGTTTTTGTTCATATGTTTTTTTGGTCGAGTTAAGCCATTTCAATTGATATTTTATAGTGTGTCTTTTTATGTTGTAATGTTACACTACTGTTTCAGGGTAGCGTGAAAGTTGGCTACTGTTAAAACGTTTAAACCCGCTGCATTTGAATGCTACTGTCCTAAGTCAGGATCCTGTTGTTCAGTGGTTGTCGTTTTTGTTGATGTGGTTCTTATTAACAAGTGTTTCTCGTTTCTCATTTTTCATATAGATTAGACCGTTGGTTTTCCTGTCTGAATTGTTTAACACTAGTCATTTTTGGGCCCTTTATAGCTTGTTGTTCAGTGTGAGCCAAGGCTCCGTGTTGAAGGCCGTACTTTGACCTATAATTGTTTACTTTTTTCACATTGTGACTTGGATGGAGAGTTGTCTCATTGGAACTCATACCACATCTTCTTATTTCAATATATACAATAATAACATTATGAGCATGCATTTAAAGTGAACAAATTCATTAGATATTAAACAAACTATAAATAAAAAGAAGAAAAGAAAAAGAAGCAAATCATATTTTTCTGTGATGATGACTAAGGTTTTGGTGATGATTATTGACCGTGCCAGTAGCAGTAACACTTTATGAAGGTACTAGAATTCTGTTAGACCTTTTAATAACATCTTGAACATGTTTGAAAATTAGGAGATTTTGTTCATTCGAAAGTTCAAAGTATCCGCAAGTTAATAGATTAGTATCTAAAACAAAATTGTCAGTAAGCCAATTATGATTGTTTAGTAAAACATCTTCAATATCAGACCCACACTAACACGAAGGATCCAGCATAATGTTAGCTTTGAAAAGGTCAGAGTTTAAAAAGGAAGCGGAACATCGCAATTGAGTTAAGATAATATTTAGTTTCCTCGGAATTTTTTCAAATTCTCTCTTGAAGTTTTATATAGAGTCGAAGTAGCGAATTTTTAAGTCGAGCTTATTCCATTCTCGTATTGTGGATGGAATAAAATATATTGGTACTACAAAATTTAAATTATGCCCTCAGGAAATCTAAGTGTTTAACAGAAGGATGAAATGCAATAACTGTCATAAAAAAAAGAATAAGTCTTTCGGTAATAAAAGACGATTATCGTTCTTAGATTCAGAAATCAACCCATCAAAATACTTGATTTGATGTTTCGAGCAGTCATTTTGTACTCCGATTACTGAGACAGAACGTTTTACAGTCGAGACCTCAGATACCAAATAGGCAATCGAAAATCTAAAGTCATAAAAAAGACAATTACATCATGGCTAAAAATAAAAATAAAAAATACAACAATAATAACAATAACTACATAACATTACAATCAAATTTAAGATCAGGCTAACACCCACTAAAACGAGGGTGATACTGTAAGGTACGTTAATAGAAATAAGAAGATGTGGTATGAGTGCCAATGAGACAACTCTCCTGTTAAGCTGTTTTATTTTGAGATTTTCCAAATAGCATTTAGAAATGACTAAACCGTCTCATTCATAGAATAGGATATACTGCCACAAGTCTGTCTTACAAAAGATGTGAGTTGCTGTGTGCCATGTTTTCTTTTCATTACTGTTTTAACATAAATCATGTCGTTGGTTTTTTGTAAGAATTGTTTCGAATTTTGTCTTTCCGGGGCCTTTTAAAAACTACCAAACGATATTGGTTTTGCTCATTGTTGAAAGCCGTATGGTGATGTATAGTAAATTAAATCCTCTTTCATCGGGCTTTTGTGGATAACTGTCTAATTGGCAATGTACCATTCTACCGGTAAGTTTCTTTATTACTGTAACATCAAATGCAATGAAAAACATGTACTGTGATTTCTCAGAACAAAAAAATCTCAAAAATTTCACATTTACATACAACACTGATAACTAACTCTTGCTCTATGCGCATTATTGGATTAGTTTCTCTATAAAAGTTTAACCATTAAACAAAGCTTCAAAACAAGAAGATTGTCCTTTAATTTCAATGTGTATACATGTTTCTCGTTCTTTGGGAAAATCTTAAAATTTTAAACCACACAAGTGAAAAGGTATCAGTTTCTTTCAGTGTATGCATCACAGTACTTTTGTCAGGAATGATATGTAATAAACATAAAACCTATTCCAGCAAATGTATTTTAGTTAAAACAAACTGTTTATTTCAGTAGAAGAAATTAAATACCGACTCAATTTAGTACATGCAGTGTCTTGTTTATTTTTTCAACAAGTTGTTCACTTACCCGTTTTTGTAATATTTGCCACCGGACTTGAAACTGTCGTTAATCTTTTAATGTCAAGGGAACAAACGGTAGACTTATAATGTATACACCTTGATTAAAACAAAGCGATGAGGAACATGTATCCTTGCCAATGATCACGATAACTATCTACCAAAAACAAAAGATCATTCAGTGTCATTTAAAGAAAGAAAAAGCATGCCGGTTATGGTTTGAATTTTTCGCTTGCAATAGGCTAATTACGGACACCCTCAAAGAATATAGCGACTGCAAATTTATTCTTACTGCAAAAACTGGACGGAAACTCTATAGAATCAGTCAAAGAGTGAAAGTAGTTGCCATTGCATGGTCGTTTCAGAATCTAAAGGCCTATGGGTAATTTCATTGTTCGAACCCCAAAAAGAAAATAACCTCACGTCATTGGTTGAATTCCAATTGTTTAGGATGTTTTTAACCAATCACGACACTTTGGTGTACTCTTTTGAAAATATTACCCAAAATGCATTACTTACTGAAACGGCGAATTGTATTCCTCTCGCAAAACCTAAATTCCTATCGCAAAACCTAAATGTAGGTCCTATAATCAAGGTTATAACTGTTTGGAATGAAAACAAATGGTCTGCATTTCTATATCCTTGATACCTGTAGCAGCGCCAACGTATTTAACACTTCCTTATGTCAATGTTTTTTTAATCACCAGCCTGTTATGATTTGTAAAGCCATTTTTTTTTTTTTTTTTTTTGTTTTTTTTTTGCTTTTAAGAAGATATTTGTGTATGTTTAAAACTTCAATTTACGGATTTCTTGTTTTGACAATAAAATATATTTATATTTTTTTGTTCATTGTCTTTCATTTTGAAGGTTTGACAAACTGAAATTATTGATATTGCCTTCCATTTTATCTAACGTTCCACAGACACGAAAACAGTTCCGACAAAACGTATTATTTGTACTTATCGCAATCCTTGTATATTAGTGACGTTGTGATTAGTTTGATGCCGTCACGTGTATGGATCCGTAAGGGGTCAGTAGATTTTATAGGGGTATCAGGACGCCACGTCTACTATTCATGGTGGAGTCATCTATTCATGTTATTGTATTTCATTGTTTATTTTTATACAAAACTTTGCAGGAAAAGTGTCATGTGCGATAAATTTGTCAAACGGGTCACTACTGACCCCCTACGGATCCATAAAGGGTTAGTAAAAATCATACGGGATCCGAAAGGATCAGTAGCAAACCATATAACTTATATAAGGTGTAGTTTTTTTTTATTCATATAGCTCTTCTGCTGTATACATATCTTGTGTTGATATTTGTATGCTTTTTCCATCCTTCTTTCTTTTTCCCTTTTTTTTTTTCTTCTTGTTATACTTAGAGTTTTGTTGTCTGATGTGTTCTCTTTTTTCCGCCTTGTTTTAAGGGTGTAACTGTGTTTGTTGGAGTCGTTATAAACAGCTTTGGTAATGTGTAGTGTACCTGGAAAAACTTTGCATGATAAATGCATGATTGACTACTAGTATATTTTATCACAGGTGACGACGGATATGTTTCAATTGTCGTAACCCAGATCTCGTCCTCCTTTCTTCGAATGTGACCTACTGAATTAGACGTATTACCGTGTTTGTACTTAGATGAGCAACACAACGGGTGCCGCATGTGAAACAGGATCGTATTACACCTCCGAAGACCCAGATGTTTTGTGGCGGGGTCAGGTCAAGTCTTAAGTTATTTATATAATGTGTTGTGTACTGTTATTTTTCTTTTCGTCGTTTTTCGTTTATTTTTGCCATGACGTTGTCAGTTTGTTTTCGACTTGTGAATTTGAATATCCATTTGGTATCTTTTGCTTCTCTTTTTCGATACACATGAACAACAAAAAATGATGTTTCATTTTTCATGCTGGACCCTATTTTGAAATCATATTTCCATAGTTTTGTTTTATATTGGTGTTTTATTTTCATTAAATATTAATCAATTTGACTATATTGAAGTTTTAAACTGCTTTTATTTTTAAGTAAATTTTATTATTCTTATAAGACCCCTTTGACGATATAGTTATTCACGTGCTTAGATTGTTACACATCCTAGGCTTCAAATTTTTGTGTTCGAGCATTCCTGATGAAGGTTAATCCAGAAAAGCTTTTCGGACTAAGTAAATTTATATAGCGTTATTTTCATTTAACTTAACAAAAATAAAATCAAGGTTTTCTATTTCGAAATGACCATGAAATAGATTTCAATGCAGTAGTTCGTGTATTTTCATGGCAACTAAATATTTTATTTTATTTTAATTTTATTATCTCAAAAAAAAACATTTGCATATGAAAATAATATGTTTTACTCTATATTATATAATGAACAGTAATAGTTAATAATTTATTATATACAATGTTTTACAAAATTTTGAAGCATTGGAATAACTTAACATAGTTAACTTAAAGATTAACGATGTTATCATTTACTTTCGTCCAAATCGCATAAATCTTTTATCTTCCGTCGTCGACTTGCCGAATCTCATAAATCGTTTTTCTGCTGGGTCTCGTCCGAATCTCATAAATCTTTTGTCTTCCGTTGATTTTCCAAATCGCATAAATCTTTTTTCTTTGTCTTCACCATCAACACTTTTACCAAATCTCATAAACCTTTTTTCATCGTCTCCACTTTTACCAAATCGCATAAATCTTTTATCGGCATCTAAGCTTTTCCCGAATCGCATGAATCTTTTATCGGCTTCGGCACTCTTTCCAAATCTCATGAATCTTTTCTCGTCATCGTTATCAATGCTCTTTCCGAATCTCATAAATCGTTTGTCTTCTGTTCCACCTCTGCCAAATCTCATAAATCGCTTGTCTTCAACCCCGTACGTATCATCGCCTTCGTCCTCTCCAAAATTTTCATCTGCTCGCTTACCGAATCTCATAAATCGCTTATCTTCCCCAGCTCTACCGAATCTCATGAATCGCTTGTCTTCTGTTCCACCTCTTCCGAATCTCATAAATCGTTTGTCTTCGACCCCGTATGTATCGTCCCCTTCGTCCTCTCCGAAATCTTCATCCCCACGCTTACCGAACCTCATAAATCGCTTGTCGGCGTTTTCACGTTTGCCGAATCGCATGAATCTCTTTCCAAATCGCATAAACCGCTTATCTGCAGCTTTCAAATTTTCATCAGCAGAATCTTCATTTGTTGCATAGGAGTTATCTACATTTCTCTTTTTAATTTCGGCTTCTGATTCTGTATTGTCTGTAACACTTTTCTTTTCAGGTACATCTTTAACCGCATCGATAGACCTTCGTTTTCGTATTTTTAGACCATTTTGATTGGCAGATTCTACCTTAACTAAAGCTGCTCTTAATATGTCTGCAAGTCCAACATTATCATATCCTCCTCCTCCTCCTCCAGATCTACCGAATCTAAGAAAACGTTTGTCTTCTGTCTGGTATGGACTCCTACCAAATCGAAAGAAGTGGTCACCTGATAGAGCTCTGCCAAATCGAAGAAAGTTTCGCTTTTGTGCGTTAGTGTCGTCTGTTTCTGAAAAAGATTGAAAAATAGAATAATAATAATACAATCAGAAGTTCTATTATTTTCATGTGATATGTCACGTGTTTAATCTTTGGCTGACAACACTTGACGACGTAAAAAAAATCATCATAAACTTTGTAACAGTGCATGTCTATCAATATGAGACGACATTCCGGTTACTGAAACGAAATTCCTTATTTAATTGTGTGTGGTTATTTCGATTCTACTCCTTTTTAATGCCTATAATTTCACACAATCGTCTCCATATAGGTTAAAATTATGACGAACATAAGACCTATTTCTTTCTATATTTTTTCTTATAAGATTTTAAGTGTAACTTTCTTTCATGGTTGAACTACTGTCAGGAATCCAAATTTTACGTGACGTTTCTAGTGGTAGTGTTTTTATTTTTATTTCAATCAAATAATTGTCTCAAATGTTTGGTTATTTAGCAAGTTATATTATAGTAAACTGAAAATATATTGTAACGGATTTGATATAATTGATATTTTATATTATATCATATTTCATTCTCTCCAAATCAAACTTCGTCCCTTTAGAGTTTGCATGATTTTTAAAAAGTTATTTTCTCTTGAGCATGGTATTCTCTGTTAGTGTATTGTATTATTTGTATATTTTTTTCGGTTTTGTGTATTCCTTTTGGATTTATCTTTAGTAACCCGTTTTCAATTTATAACTTGTGTTTGTTCAAAGAGACAAATTGGATCGTACACAAGTTTTACCAACTTATGAAGTCTTCTCCTTTACATAATATATGTATAACAATACAAGAATCATACAGAGCATGCTCAGTTAAAAAGATCTACCTTAAGGAAATATAGAAAATAGAGACAATCGCAATCAATATGAAAGAAAGAAAAAAAAAGAAAACAATTAGAAAAAAAAGAAAACATGTTGAAGTCTGTGGACACGGTGATTTTGTTTTTGTTTTCGTTTATCTTATTTGATTATGGTAAGAGGAATTTGTTTGGTTTTTTTTAATGAATTTAAAGACTTCTTTACAGATTTAACACGTATTGTTCATCATAAAGTTTTAAACTAACATTCTTGACAAACAGTGCTTCAGCACTTTGATTTATGCTTCTTTTTTCAATTTCTGACTAGTTTCTCACTATCTTATTTAAAGCAATTCTCGTTCATAAATGGTATTCTATGTTATATCCCAAAGGGTTCCGAACGTCAATCTTTGATGTAAGAAAGCCAGGAGAATTGTGTAAATTATTTTAACCGACGACCATTGTATTCTCCGGTGGCAATTACAACGTTGAGTTATGATTTATTGAATCAATAAAGCACATTTTGATCTCATATTTGCAAAAAAGATAGTTTATTATGTCTTTGTACGGTTTATTCGATTCCTATCAAATCCTGAAAAGAGATTTTTCAAAGTGAACTAGCATAGAAAGGGTGAAACGTCGAAGCATAGAAAACTTACTTTAGATAATCGTAATATAATGTTCTTATGTGAAACCACTTGTGCGTACATTGTCAGCAGTTTGTGCGTGCATTATTAGCCACTTGTGTGTACATTGTTGGAAGTAAATGTATGATAAATCTAGCATACAAACAAATATATTTCTTTAATCGAGATATGGACAATATCAAGGAAATATTTTGTATAGCTCGTGTCAATAAAACTAGAACGAGTTAATCATTTATGAGTATGAAGAACAGATGGGTTATCTCCTATTCTATTTTGGTCTTTTATTCAATTATAGTTTATGTGTTCTTACTTTATCTAGAAAGACTTCAAATAATAAAAAAAACCATGACTCTTAAACATGATATAATAAATATATTGACAATCATTTTCACAGGGTTTCAAGTAAAATTAATCCTCATTGAAGGGAATTTATAAATAATAGATGTGGGTTATTTTGGTTATTCTCAAAAGAAACATCTACTCAAACGACCGAAAAATCAAGAGACATTTTAAGATCAACATACGGTCTACGATTCCGAAAGACGAACGTAGAAGATACCTACCCAACTGCATCAAAGGTGAATAGAATCGATATTGAGAGAACAGGACACGATCGAGAATGACAAGGACTATCTCCAAAAGTATAAACGAACAAATAAAAACAACGTATACGAACAACTGAAATAAACCTTTATACGTTGGGCAATACTAGCTCCCGCCAAAACCAGAAGCGAAAGAAAGGGCTCCGAAAGTGTGTGTATACTCTGCTTTGCATTCGACATCCGTAATGTTAATTATATTGGAAAACTAAAATGATGGTCTGATGGGGTTAACAGAAAAAAGAATATTAGGGACAAAATTAAGTGCCAGTCTTTGTAAGAATCAGGCAATTTAGAAAAATTTCAAAACATGGCTGAAAAAAACCCACCGACCAATCTATCCTATTTTGAAGTTACCCTCATCCTGAGTTAGAAATGGTAGGTCTTTTGTTTCTGCTGTTCTGGTAATTCGAGAAATCTCTAGATAACTTTTGGTTAGAATGATAGCAAATTACATAGTTATCTCCCTTTAATTGTTAATTTCTAGTGCATTTCAACCAAATTATATCTTGAGTTACCAGAACAGGAGGAGGAAACGAATGTTATATTCGTGCACGATGATACAATTTGAACATAAATTTATGTCAACTTGAGTGGGTTTTTGTTTGTCATGTTTTCACCGCTGCCTGGTTCTTAGGCAGATTGGCACTTAAAGTATAAAGTAATGAACCAAATAGAAAGAAGAAAAATTACATAAATAATCAAAGAATACAGGAAGGAATCCCCCTCTACGTCTAGACACTCTCTCATATTAGGTTCATATCCATTTTTTTTACAATAAATGGTAATTGCAAATCTTAAAGGACAATTTGATGCCATCTTTGTAAGTAAACCAAAATTCAAAATTACGAAAAGAAGAGTAATTTTCTTACAGTTCTCATTTGACCAATATTTAGATTAAAAAAGAATATGATAACCCTTATGATTCACTGTTTTATCAGACCATATTTTCCAACAGACAAGTAACAGACAACCGTTAAGATACCATAGGTATTGCTAGTGTTTTATATTTAGGTATATCAATATCCAAAAACAGAGACAGGTTCTTCTTAGCTTGAAGGTTACAATACATTATCGAGTAGCATGCCCGAAACCGTTCCATAAAAGGATATTTTACACGTATAGCACGTTTTTATACAATACTATTTTGTTCCCCGGTCTTAGTCAATTACACATGGGCAATAGCTAATACTATATTTTTAGCAATACATGTTTATTATTTGTTAAAGGTTACATTATGATGAAGGAGACATGAACAAAAGAGGCTGTGTTAGCAATCCGACGACAATAGCTTTAATAAAAACTATTTGGAAGGCAACATACAGCTTGTAACAATAAACATGTTTTCATGAAATAGCTCGTTTAATTTCAAAAAAATCTTAACAAAGTATTTACTTTGACCTGTTGACAAAAATATGAAATTTCAAAAAATTTGGACCACAAAATTTTCAGGAATAATTTCATTGGATATATATAACAAACACTAATTTGATCATTGAGAAGCTTGATTTCTTTGCTAATACATGTAATATGTGATTAAAACGTTTAGCTGATTTTTAGAGTTAACTCTCTTAAGTGTTTCGTACCCTATTAGACTTCCGTAACCTTATTCCGGCTCTCTTGTTCTCATGATTTGAGTAGGATAATATCGTTTAAATATTTAAGGGGGAAAATAATATATTTTTATTGTGAATGTGGTGCTATAAAAAAGTCATTATTTGACCAACAAATGTCATTTTAGATATTGCTTAACATTTAATATTATTTTATGAGACATCGGGCGTCAAGATATCTTTAGGTGAAAATCTAAAATTAAGGCAAAATATTACAAGTTTAATAGCCTTTTGATAAATATTGATAAAATTCAAAATATATTTATGTTATTATCAATTTTATGACATCATGTCGTCTTGTATGCATCTAACGTGTTAAATTTGATAGTTTTAAACTACTTTTTCATTTTACATTCAATGAATAATAAACTCATCATAAATACCGGGACAAACCCTTCTTCGTTCGTCAATAAATTTCAGAATCTATCCAACGACCATACTATGCAAAATGACCAACAACAATCCTAAATTAATTCTTTTATGCGTCTTATCTATTATTGCATTTGAATCAAGCCAATTTTGTTTACTTTTGAAGGCATCTAATCATTAGGAACGGTTATTCAATACAGCCTTCAGAAATATTTTATAAGATCATTATTCGGGCGATTCATATATGTGCAATATTAATGTAAATTTCATATAGAAACATTTATAATTGACAAGAAATGTCAGTTTCATTTCAGACATTGATTGTGTTGTCTGGATAAGCATGTTGATTGAAGATTCGATAGTGTCTCACTTATTAAGGGTCAAGTTTAACTAAATAGATAAGGTACTTTGGTAAAATGAAATTACGCTAAAATTTTCAAAATATTTACAGAGATATTTATTTGCCATTATTTTAACACTATGCAAAGAGATCTTTTTTTGACACAAATTGTATATAATTACATTACATGTACGTTTCATTATAATACGTTATTTTGAACAGCAATCTCGCGTCATTCTGAAATTAACCTTCATTTCAAAATGAAATGTAATATTCATGATTACACGAGCTTCCACAATAATGTGCACAGGTAAATAAAAGAAAAAACTTGATAGAAATCGTGTTTTCATGATCCTAGCAAAAAAAATGTAATTATAAGTATTGAATGCTTCTTTTAGTAATTTTATAGGGCTGTAAAAGCGTTGACCGTGCACACATGTTTAGAATGAAGCGCTTCATACAAAATGTACTTCGGTCAACGCTTTTACACCCCAATAAATTTACAAAATGAGGCATTTAATTCTTAAATGTAAATATCTCTAACGTATAGACGTCATTAAAACAGCAACCTATCGACACAGGTATCAAAATAAGGTATAAAACTGGTATCAAAAGTCAATCTTAAATCGCCCTGATCCTAGAAG